TACTGGTGCGTGTACTGGAGTGTATACTGGTGCGTGTACTGGAGTGTATACTGGTGTTGGTGGTGTCTGACCTTCTGTGGGATGATGGCCTGGTGGTTCTCCAGAATGATGCGTTTGATGTGATGAGCCCACAGCTTCTTCTCCTCCACCGTCTTCGCCTGGAAACATGAAGCAAACATTCTGCTTTTGATTTCAGTTTCTAGAGACACTGAAGGATCAACTCAACATGAAGGATTTTATATATATCAAAATAAATACAGTGTATTTACATACATGTACATATTCAGCCCATGTCTACGAGCACACGTATACAGATTAAAGAATAAGCACATTTAGAAAAACTACAAATAATAAAATGATGGGGTTCCAGAAGAAAACGTGAGCAGGTGAGCAGGTGAACAGGTGCAGATGATCTCACCTGAACTGTGTGAGGCTGTTTGGGATGTTTGTAATGAGTCACACTGAAGCTCAGAGAGTCTTTGGCGCTTTCAATCAGCATCAGAGTGGAGCACTGAAACCACACAGAGACATTAACAAACAAACAAACATCTGGTTTCTTGTCTGGTTTTACTTCTGCAGTGTTTGAAAATCTTTGTCTTGATGAGTCAAACTACGTTACTTTGATTTATATCATCTGTTTTAAGTATCTGATGTCTATTGAATTATCATATATAACTATATAATCGATTGTCCATTTTCTTCCGCGTGTTGTGTAAAACATGTATAATAATTATTACATTCAGGTTGTTGGTGGACATCAGCAACCTCCATCACCGTTACCTGAATATTAGAATGCTATATCTTGCTTATTTGAAAATATATATATATATATATATATATGTTATAAACTCATGGAGACTTTCCTCCATGTCTTGACTTGATAAGTGGTCATGTGGTGGGTGAAGCGTTCCTCACAGAGATGTACGTCTTGTAGATGTAATGTTCTCCGCGGCGTTTTGTGATCAGCAGCATGCGGTCGAACAGGAACAGCGTTCTCTCATTTTTGGCACGGTGAACTTTGAAGGTTCCCTCCAGAACCAGTTCTCCGTAGGTGGTGAGGTCCGAACCTTTCCAGTTCAGCAGCAGAGACTGAACCTCCTGAAGAAAAACACAGTTCCATGTTGGCTCAAGTACAAGTACCTCAAACGTGTACTTTGTGAAGTACTATGTGAGCAGAGAGTACTGTGGCTGACCTGCAGTCTGACGGCGTGTTCGTGTTTCCTCTTCATGTCGTTGATGTACCAAGCCACGCCCGTCATGGTGTAGATGGCCTCCTCCACCACCTCATAGCCCGCCTCCTGAGGGTCAAAGTGCTTCGCTATCTCCTGCAGGAAACATCATCATCACCATCATCATTATCATCACCGTCACCATCATCATCATCATCACCGTCATCATCATCATCATCATCATCACCGTCATCATCATGATGATACTGGATGATAATAACAGCTGTGTTGATGTCGTACCTGGAGCAGCAGGTGGTATTTGAGGATCCTCTGAACAGGTTTCAGCAGGTATGAGCCGAGAGGCAGCGAACGCTTCAACGACGCCTGCCGCTCCCGAAAGAACTTAGCCAGAGATTTATTGCTCATGCACTCCGTCAGAGCTGCAACCGAACTGGAACAAGAGGCAAAATAATAAGGTGTTAACGAGTAGAGACAGGAGTGAACAACGACTGTGGTGGACTGTAGTGGATGGTAGTGGCCTGTAGTGGACTGTGGTGGACTGTAGTGGATGGTAGTGGACGGTAGTGGCCTGTAGTGGACTGTAGTGGATGGTAGTGGATGGTAGTGGCCTGTAGTGGACTGTAGTGGATGGTAGTGGACGGTAGTGGACTGTGGTGGACTGTAGTGGATGGTAGTGGCCTGTAGTGGACTGTGGTGGACTGTAGTGGATGGTAGTGGACGGTAGTGGATGGTAGTGGCCTGTAGTGGATGGTAATGGATGGTAGTGGACTGTAGTGGACTGTGGTGGATGGTAGTGGACGGTAGTGGCCTGTAGTGGACGGTAGTGGATGGTAGTGGACTGTAGTGGACGGTAGTGGAGTGTAGTGGACGGTAGTGGATGGTAGTGGCCTGTAGTGGATGGTGGTGGACTGTGGTGGACTGTGGTGGATGGTAGTGGCCTGTAGTGGATGGTATTGGACGGTAGTGGACGGTAGTGGACGGTAGTGGACGGTAGTGGATGGTAGTGGCCTGTAGTGGACTGTGGTGGACTGTGGTGGCCTGTAGTGGATGGTAGTGGCCTGTAGTGGATGGTATTGGACGGTAGTGGACTGTAGTGGATGGTAGTGGACGGTAGTGGACTGTAGTGGATGGTAGTGGACTGTAGTGTATGGTAGTAGATGGTAGTGGACTCTAGTGGATGGTAGTGGACTGTAGTAGATGGTAGTGGACTGTAGTAGATGGTAGTGGCCTGTAGTGGACTGTGGTGGACTGTAGTGGACGGTAGTAGATGGTAGTGGCCTGTAGTGGATGGTAGTGGACGGTAGTGGACGGTAGTGGACTGTAGTGGATGGTAGTGGACTGTAGTGGACTGTAGTGG